TGACAGAAGAGTCGCCACCTTTCGTTATTTATCCCTCAGAGCGGGAAAGGAAACGATCGGAAAAACCTGACGAAAAAGGGTAAGACAAGGTCATCGCAACCATTGTCTGGGTTCGGGAGTCGGTTACGCAAGGGGAAGGTATTAGCACCCCTCACGTCCGTCGTACTCGACGGGATCCTCGCTGGTTTGTTTACTTGGACGGGTTGGTTATAATCTATCTACCTATCAAGGCTGGCTGAAAAAGAAAAGAAAAATGACTCGGCAAAGCGTCGCGCTTTATGCCTACGTATTCTCATCAGAGAATGAGAAATCAGAGTCAACGTAGTTCGGCTAACTACGGGTGAAGGTGGGGGAGGTTGCTCGCCAAGACATCGCCATCTTGTGCCTACGTACTCTCAACAGGTATGAGAGATCAGAGCAAACGTAGTTCGGGAAACTACGGTTTATTTCCTGAAAGAAGTGTTTTTTATTATGTTTGCGATATCAACCGCACTAGAGACTATGACCTGAGAGTGAATGCGTCGCATGTCACCCAAAGGGTACCATACTAGACATCCAAACTATGGAAAAGAAGCTCTCCCACAATCCTTTCTCAGATAGCTTAAGGCTCGTAACGTACGAAAGAAATCATTCATGATTACTGTATCTTAAACTGTTTTGAGATGAGAAGAGAACAGGCCCAACTAGGAGGGAGACTATCAAGTCCTATTGTTATCATGCCATGGATTCATCCTATGGTTGAGGTTTGAACAGGGAACTCCTAGATGTTGTCATGCATAGGTTTCAACCTAAAGTTCTATCATCAAATCCTCATCAGAGGAAATGAGAGTCCTAAGGGATCATGTCAATGATACACCAAAACAGACAAAAGCATCAGCTTAACAGTAAAATGCATGCAATGCAAATGAGGGAGGAAATGTGTGTGGGGCTTCAGCCTCCACAAGCTCGTCTCGACCTCAAGCCAGTCATGAAATAACAGTAATCATACTGAAAGATAAACAACATGCTATCAAGCACTAAACAGCAAACTGCAATCATACAGATAAAAGAAATAAAATCATGCTATCAAGCAAAATAATCACATGGGCAAGGGAGCTGGGCTCTACCGAATACCCGCAAGCAAAGCCACGCAATAACAATACAAGCAGAGGGAGCAACTCAACCTCTAATGCAATCATGCTCCTAGACTGAGCTTATTCTAGATGACCTTAGTCTAATGCAACAGACAAATCAGACAAAACAAACAATACAGAAAAGAAAACAGAAGAAAGCCTCAGCTCCTCCAGCATCAACTCAGTCTTCAGACTTCAGAGATCACTTGCTTTCCAGGTATCAACCCTACAACATGAGTATCAACTCATCTTCTCCCTTGAGCTTCAGCTCCTTTGATCAGCTCCACCTTCAGGCTTCACCATCTTCAGGGATCTTCAAGCATCAACTTGATCCTCACAAAGTCTTCAGACTTCAGCAATCTTCAAGGAATCATCCTCTTCAAAGCTTCAACTTCTATCTTTAATGGCTCAAATGCTCCAACAAACAAGATTCAGTCCACAAGATGAGGTGAGGATGTTACAGTGCTCACTGACTTCCAAAGGATGCCATTGAGGACTTAACATCAAAGGGAAAGGCTCTCTCAAAGTTCTACCTCATAGGGCAAGGTCACTAATCCCTCCAAAGGAGAGAGGTGAATACCCTTAAGGGACTTTATGTCATAGAGAAGGAAGGAGGTGAACAAAACACTCCCTGTTTATTGAATGGAAGTATCCTATCTAAGGCTCTACCTATGCACCTATACACCTATAAACAAAACAAAAAAATCTAAGCTAAACTCCTCTGCAAAGTCTTCAAAGCTTCAATGATGATCCACAAGGTCTTCAACTCAATCTTCAAGGCTCACACACTCAAAGGAGAAGAAAAAACAAGCACAACAATACAAACTATGCCCTTAAGCAACACACATGCTAACCATACATTCAAAAATCAATTGAAAATACCGAAACACCAAATAATATTCTAGCAAAATTCTAGGGGATTCTATACATACTTACCCTTAACCCATATATTCCCCCTACACTAATTTGGCCTATAAACCCCAAAACAAAATGGTTCAAATCTACTTATACAACCTAAAACCCTAATTGGAGCACCTAAATATCAAACAATCAAACTATATCAAATTTTAATCTATAAATTGAGAATTAAATTCTATATGAACTAGGGTTCAATACCTAACTATGCCAAAAAGAATGGCTCAAAAATCCTAAGGGAAAGTCCTAAAACAAATTCTACAAAATTAAGTGTTAACCAAAATCAATTAAAAATACTATTTACAAGAAAATATGCTAAAAAATATTAAAAGAAAAATAAAATGAGATTTTATTTATGGATATTTTTCTAGGAAGAACCATGATCATGTGAAAAAAAAAAGGAAAAATATTAATTTTTCTATTTTATATGATTTTTTTAATATGCAAGAAAAATAAAAGAAATTGAAATAAGAAAAATGAAATAAATGGGGGATGGGGTGTGAAAAGCAATGCGCCTCAGTTCATTTTGAGAGATGGGCCAAATCAGGGGGGTGGGGATAGAAATACTTCGCTGAAGCCCAGGTCTAACAATTAATCAAAACGGTGCGTTTGGATTAGTAGAACGCTGCGTTTTATACGCTTCAGACTCCCTCCACTTACAAGTTTGAATCGTGGCCGTGAGATTGGATGATTTAGTCAACTTCTCAGAGAGATCCAAGGGCTGTGGCTTATCGTCCCAAACGAAACTAGGGTTTCACCATGCGAGCTCCCTGAAACAGCCTTCATACCCTAATCTTCTGCCTGCTCGTTCTCCATCAATATTCAATGAAAATCAACAATTCCAAAGCTAAACTTGCTCTACTACTCATCAGGAACATGATCATATGCATAGTTTTCACTGAAACATCTTATATCATCCAAACAGAACGCTTGAAAGTTAGGGTTCCAACATGTTACACTGATATCAACCTTAACGAAACTCAAATCCAATGATCTAAACTTGTTCCTTAGGTTACCCTCATCAATCTAAACCATAACATATCAGTTAATGCTCAACACACGATCCATTCTTGAAAGTGGAAGAAACTAGGGTCTGCCATGGATCCTCATAAAACTTCCTCAAATTCTCAGAATACAGTCCTCTACCTTATCTTAACCAGTCTACACTTAGAACTAGGATGGAATGCATATAAATAAAGTGATACGAGTAAGATCACCAACCTGTCAAGTTGTAATGGTAGGTGTGGTTTCACTCCAATCCAATGCCTGCAAGCTTCCCTGATTGATCCTTAATGGCAGATATGAATTCTGTATGCAAAAAGATTGATGAACAATGCTTGAATCTTGTGTTTGATCTCAATATGCTTTTCTTGCAAATTCTTCAATGCAGCTTCAAACCTCCATGGATCTTCCTCTAACTCAGTATGCAAGCAATCAGAAGGATCAGAAGAATGTGTTTGTGGAGAAGAAAAGGATGGAAATGGCAGAGAATGAAGGTTTGTTATGAAATTGCAAATGGAGGAACCTCACTTTTTCACTCTCTAATCTCACCACTCACCAACAATTATCACCAACCTTGGCCACATTGTGATTCACCCTTCTTATAACAATCAAAAGAATAATCTAGATCCATCTAGAAACTTGTGGAAAGTGCTTGAAAGTTATAGAATTTCTCATGAAATGATACATTGGATATCCATTATCTCATGCCTTAAGCTTGTCAAATTGACTTTAAAATCTCCTCACAAGAGATATTGAGAAAGAATGAGTGAAAAACATGCACTTCCTTGCCTTTGGTGAAGTTTTGTCAAGTTGCCTTATGATTCAAGTGACAACATTACAAAGTAACCCCCATTTCTAGGCTTCAAATCAAAATTCTACTTGAACCATTGTTTTTAAAATATTGTTTGGAGTCAAAATGACATATTGGATGACCCATTTTGGATTTGTACATCTCCTAAACCAAAATTCAATTTCAACTTTTTCAACTTATAAGCCATTTTTAGGTCATTTTTACCCAATCTTGTAAATCCTTGCTACAAGCTTTTTCAACAATTCATGACCACTTTTATAATCTTAAAATCCCATTTTGAACAACTTTCATGTTTTGAGTTTTTTCATTTGAAGCTTGGAAATAGGAGATATGGCCTTTACTTAAAATGACCTATAACTGCCAAATGACCAAAATACCCCTGTCTTGTTCAAACCATAAGTTGAGTTCTACAAATCCTATCAAGGACTTCTAGTACTATCTAGAAAGCTAAGAAGATGATCTTCAACATTCATGTTGACCAAGAGATCATAGGAATCATCCTACTAGGGCAAAAGTTGTCTGCAAGTTGGGTGACTTTCAAGGACCCAGATTCACACACCTCTGCTGACCTGTAATTTGTCAAAACCATAACTTGAGCTCTGCAACTCCTATCAAGGACTTCCACCACTCAAATTAAAGCTAAGAACAAGCTCTACAACATTCATGTTGTGGGGAAGATGAGATATCAATCACATCTTGAGCTAAAACTGCCTGGAAGATAAGGATCAAACTAGGGTTTTTTCACTGACAATCCTCAGAAACCCTAACTCAAAACTTCTCAAACTCCTCAATCATGATGAGTTGGTCTAGGAATCATCTTTATAACATCTCTATGCATCATTCCATGATCTCATGGCCCTTGGATTAGGTCTCAACCTTCTCCAAATTTTCAGTTATCCTAGGGTTGACCCAGTCAAAACACTAATTCTACCATTCATGGTTGAGTCTTCTGAATCCTTGCACAACGACTTCTCTGGGCTTCATGATGGCTATCAAGACATTTCATGAACTTTCTCAAAGCTTCAAGTTCATTCTCAAAGTCTCAGAATCATCTGAGGGGCACCCACAACTCTCAAGCTATGAGACACACAACCTTGGTTTCAACCAATTTCTCTGAGGATCTCTTGAACTTTCTGATGAAGGTATCAACTTTCAAGCACCTAATGGGTAAATAATTGTTGGTCAAATTTTGGGGTGCAACACCACTCACGCAACATCATTGGTCTATTGCGGATTGAGTACGGCCCCTTCATCAAAACTAGGTCTTTGTCTTGGAATGAGTGGAATCTAAGGATGAAGAATCCTTCCTCATTATAGAACATATCAGGTAGCTTCACAAAATTCCAGTTCTTGCTCATGAACTGTTTCACGGCATTCATGCTGAGGTCCACACCCAGGGCATACATGATGAGGGCAGACTCCCAGAATTTCACTTCCTTTTCAACATCTTCCTCTTCAATTTGGATTTCCATTTCTCCATCAATAATCTTTGGTGCAACGAATTCCATGGTGAGACCCTTTGCCGGATTACGATTCTCATTGATGACGTCGACCCAGAGCTTCTTCGTCTGGCTAGTTTCCCCCTCCATTCTTACTTCAGTTCTGTGATGACCTAGATTTTCTGTATCAGGAACAATTTCTTCGTTTTCCTCCGCCAAGCTTCCATTTTCCTCTGAATCATTCCGCACTGCATCGTCCACAATAGTTTCTTTTTCCGTGGCTTGCTGATCTGAGATGGCCGCCGTAGGGTTGGTTGTTGACGGTGGCACCAAACGTGGCCGCCCTCGTCCTCTCCCTCTCCCGCGACCCATTTCTCAATTATTATTATTATTATTATTATTATTATTATTATTATTATTATTATTATTATTATTATTATTATTATTATCATTATTATTATTATTATCATTATTATTATTATCATTATTATTATTATTATTATTATTATTATTATTATTATTATTATTATCATTATTATCATTATTATCATTATTATCATTATTATTATTATTATTATTATTATTATTATTATTATTATTATTATTATCATTATTATCATTATTATTATTATTATTATTATTATTATTATTATTATTATTATTATTATTATTATCATTATTATCATTATTATTATTATTATCATTATTATCATTATTATCATTATTATCATTATTATTATTATTATTATTATTATTATTATTTTTATTATTCTTATTATTATTATTATTACCATTATTATTATTATTATTATTATTATTATTATTATTATTATTATCATTATTATTATTATTATTATTATTATTATCATCATTATTATTGTAATTATTATTATTATTATTATTATTATTATTATTATTATTATTGTTATTATTATTATTGTAATATGATATTAAAAAAATGTAAGAAAAATATATGTTTTAATTGTTAAATGATTTAAATATTTTTATTTAATTTTAATTAATTAAATTATTAATTAATCTTATTAAATATTTATATTTAAGTTAATTAATAATTCTTTTGGTTGCCTGATCTTATTTCATGACTTGTATGCTTCCATGTTGGGGTTATTTTCCTTGATTAATCCTTGATGTCTTGCCTTGATTAATTGATGATGTTTTACACGAAGTTTTGTCGTGTATGTGTGTGGATTTTATTAGCTGATTCACACTATGCTTTGTCGCGTATCTTTGTCTGTTTATGCATGATACTTTTTTCATGTATGTTGTAATTCCCATCTCTTATTCACATGATGCTTTACCATGTGAATTTTGTGTATCTTCTGTTGACTTTTTATTGTCTACATATCATGATGTTTTGCCATGTGTATTCTGTGATATCTTATCTGTTTGACCATACATGTTGTTCTTATCATGTAATATGTATGTGTCTTTATTTGATGTCATTTACATGATTATTTTCCATGTATCTGTTGCTTTATTTCTATTCCTTGTTGACTTAATCCAAAGGAAGGGATTGTATGTTGATTTATTATCATTGTGCATGTCCCTTGTATGTTGGTTTCTTTACTTGTTTTTTATGTTGTTCTTGGTTCTTAAAACCTAACAACTCGTAGTTCCACGAACTACGAACACTCTGATTTCTCAAGTTCCTTTTGAGAATACGTAGGCACAAGGTCCCAATCCTTGGCGAACACTCTTTTCCTTTTCTACACTTTTCCTTTTTCCCATTATTTTTACACGTAGTCTCTGAATTATGATTGCTCTGACTTCCTATTAAGGATACGTAGGAAAAGGAATGCGAGATCCTAGCAAGCAACCTTTTTGTTTTTTTTTTAACCTTTTATCTTTTCTTTGCCCATCTTTTATCCTTTAGCAAACAATTTTTAGCCAAAACACAAATATTTCAAGAGGTTCTTGTAGAGTACTACAGATACTTAGGGTGCTAGTACCTCCCTTAGTATATCCAACCTCTGTACCTTTGATATTTTGTTGCTTAGCTTTAGGCCTTGCTTGTTGCTTTGCATTTTACTTAGGGTTTTTGTTCGATCTTTTCTCCATTCCCTTGGAAAAAAAATTTGGTGGTGATATCTTATTTTTGTGAGCCAAGCTGATCTGATAGCTTTGGTATCTGATTCTCACCACGACACCCATCAATTATCTTTATGGTCATCTAGTTACAGACAATGTTAGTACTCAACTCTACATTTAGGGTCCATGGTGATTTCAGGTCGAAAGGTGGTATACACCACTATCACCATGATATTAACTTATGACACCTTGCATAACATTCTATGTAGTACTCTCATAGCGGTCAATCCAGTTTAAATATTACTCATGATATTCATACCTATGTTAAGACTTTATAATTCCTTATCCGTGATCCATAAGATGTGATCACTAGTCTATCTACATAACAGTTTTAATGCTTTAAGGTTATCCCACTTCACAGTAAAGCTCGACTACAGATACTTTCAGAATAGTGTCCTTATGTTTAATGGGATCTCATGATTAAGTCACACTTAATATTTCATTAAACGTACTAGCTATTCTAGGGACTTTATTATTCTAAAAAAACAAACATAATCAAGAAATGCCTTTTATTAATAATAAATAATTTGATACAAGTACCAAAAGTATTGGCCTCAAGGGCTTACACCAACAGAAAGAAGAATCTCTAGATGAAGTTCCCTTATCCTGGGAATCCACGGAGAGCCTTTCAGAATCAGAATCGTCGTTAAATATATGACATCATAACCCAAACCATTGTAGACAAAAGGGGAAGGATTTGAACTAAGGGATGCTCTCATTTTCACTGCGTGAGAAACATCACTCTCATAGTCACTAGCCAAGCTAATAGGACTACAACTCATATCGATTGAAGGAAAGGAAATGCTAAAGGTATTAAAAAGATTGAGGTAAGGAGGTGTAACACCTTTTTCTACCCTACAAATATTATGGCAAAATAACACAGATATCAGAGTAAGACCCTTTAAGTTAATCAAAAGGCTAACAACTCAAAGACTTCAAAAATATCCTCGATGGCGTCCACGGCTAAACCTGGTCATCTGCATGTTACCCACGTGGAGGTAACATTCAAACAGGCAGGGTGAGTAAAATGATTCATAATAATCAATGTATAAAAATCAACATATAAAATGGTGTCATATTCATATTCAACACATTGATATCCTTCAATAGGCCTCAAAGGCCACAACATCATAAATTATTCCAAATGACTCATAAATGCAAATGAAATAAGACTCAATGCATGTGGTACCAATCATCACAGCATGATAGACACTGGGCCATCAACCCTCCGTAGATCCCCATCAATAGGATCTATTCTACTTGAGAACCAGAGCACGTCAAAACACTTCACATCCGCACAATGGAATTGAAGCCAAAGTAATCGAGGTCCTGAACCGAAGTCCGGATGCACATGAATGCATGATGCACACGTCAATAATCATCCTCATAATAACAACATAGGTTCATCATCATTCATCATAATCATCATCATCACAATCATCATCATATCTCATTTCATCATAGAATTCATCAAAACTCATGGTAATATCATCATATTACATCATAGCAATCATCATGTAATCATGTATACATCACATAGAATTCACAGTCATACTCATGTTAATTCGTCAAAGAAATCACATAATCAAAACATCAAGGCATCGCTGCACAACATCTACATTCGTGAAACTCTGCTACGTTTGCTAGCAAGTTCGCTAGGCGAGTCTGAGGCGAGTTTCTTTGCTAGGCGAAGGATTCTTCGCTAGGCGAGTCTGGGAACAACATGGTTCGCTAGGCGAAGCATTATTTGCTAGGCGAATAGTGCGATAACAGCAAATTCTGCTACGCATCAGAACCTAAATTCACCCAAATGTCCACACAATTCACTTCCCCAATGCCCCCAAAACATCCCTAAATCATCCTTAAGGTCTTACGGCGATAAAGGCACAAAACCTACGGTTTATTAGGTCAATCCTGTATCGTATTCACGCCCTCCCTACAATTATCCCAAGGCATTAGAGTTACTCATTATCTAATATTCCTATCCCTTCAGGGTTAGACAAATAACAATTCATGGTTTTGGGCCACGAAGGCCTAACTTTTCCTTTTCCCCAATGAATTCCACGGTTAGATTCACAATAACAGATTTAGGCCACGTAGGCCAAAGATCACTATTTCTCATATCCACCCTCAAAATCCCTTAAACCTTAAATCGACCTTAAATACATTGAAAGTTACACATGGAAAATCATGAAGGTAATACTCCACATACCTTAATCGTCGATTCAAAGCCTTCACAAATCTTTCAGGGAATCTCTCGAAGCTTCTGCCTCCAATCCTCTCCTCAGAGCTCTGGCCTCAATACTTTTCACGGTCTAACAAATGAATCCTAATCCCTTTCCAATTTCCTTTTTGTTAAACCTAGTCTTGGGCCTCACAATTGGGCTTTCTCCATAATACCCTCACTAACTCCTCTGAATTGTCCCAATTGCCCTTATTCATCTCTTATTTATTTTAATTCATAATAATATTAATAAATTCATATTACATACTATTATTCAAAATAAATAACCCCAAAAATGCACAATTATCAATAATCCACAAAACCACCGGAAATCACTAAAAAATGAATATTCTCAATTAAATTAATTAATTAAAATATTCCAATTAAATTTAGGGTGTTACAGGAGGGACCTGGTAAAGTGGAAGACGACGAGGAAAGTTATGAGTAATGGGAAAAAAATGGAATCTTTTAGCAAAGTGCCGCAACTACTCTAGTAAATACTCTTGAGAGGGAAGAAAAGAAGGCACTTACAAAAAGAAATTAACTCTTAAGGATTGCGAAACGTTCCATCAATGCTTAACAACCTATATATATATATAGGCGAAGACAAGTGTTGCACCCTAAAATTTGCCCAACCTTATTCACTTGGTTTATGTTTCAATATCATTAGCATTTGCATATAGAGTCATGTACATAGCCTAACCATCTGCATAGCATAAGCATAGCAAGTCATCCAACAGGGACCAATCATTGTTCTCATCTATATGAGCCTATCAAGAGGTTATTATCCAAATTCAATCTCATTCAAGTCATCAGAAAGAATTTGAAAGCTGGGAAGTCAATGGATCAAGCATTTCATCTATCTCCTAGCTGAGGGTATCTGAGGATCAACAAAGTAAGTTGTGGGCTGTGAACTGAGCATGGAGAGTATGTGGGCATCATGGGAGACTTAGAAAGTCATTTGGAGAAGGAAACAAGTCATTGGTGTAGTCACAAGAGTTGTGGATGAAAACAGTCAACTAGGGTTTCATCTGGGGTC